TATACGGGAGGCACATGGGATATATGTGTAGGTCGGAAGTGAAGGGCCGAAGTGATGGAGTTAAGGTACAAAGAATTAAATATGAATTTATTGTTATAGTGTGAATTGTATTGATTTGTACTTCTTGAAAAATAGTAAACGATCTTGATAAATTATGAAATTTGAGAAGAGGCATGTATATGTGATTCTAGACAACTTTTGTGGTTTAACTTTTTATTAAAAAGATCGATTAGAACTTGTAATCGGATGATTTTGATCATAATAGTTTTGATTCAGTTTAGCAATGCAGATTTTAGAGGCTGTTTTAACCCACGAAACGAGCTCATTTTTATTGGTTTCGCGTAAACTGAAGTAAAACATTATTCTGAACACTTTCATGTTCTGAACTTTTCTGAAAAAAATCATCTTACAGCAGTTTCTTTTCGTTTTCAGTTCCAGATTTTTCGATCGAATTTCGTTTAGGATTTTCTATTAAGTTTTTCTCTCAATCTGTTTAGTTTCTACTAAATTAGTTCGTGACATCTTTTATAAAATTTGATTTTGTATAACTTTTGTTCTTTGAGTTTTGGTCAATTCGAATTATTTAAGTTTGAAACGATGCATTTTTATACTTCTTCAGCAAGTTACTTATGATTAAATTATACTAACTTTATTTTTTGTACGGTGGTGGGTCTTACTAAGTTTTTTATGCGGGGCTTTATTTTTATTTTGTTTATTTTATACTCAATTTGTATTTGGTGGTGTATGGGTAAGAAACTAAATGCCACTGTATCTCGAGAAACTACCCATTCGTCTCGGTGCGGTTGAAACTACTTGTCTCGTCCCGTAACAAGAATTAAATATATTTTTGTTTGTGTCTAGTGGACACGTGGGTGTTAAATCTTGTATTGGTACTGACCCGTTTTGTCTCTTGGCAACTCGAGTGCGTTCTATTTGAGTGCAACCGAGATTCTTTTGCAGGATTAGTTGGGGCTACGGTGGTGATGTGGAATAACTATAGTTGTTGGATATGTCTCTCGGATTTCTTTTATTTTCTTGAGCTTAGAGTTGATATTAGTTTATGCATTTATTATTTTTTTTAATGACTTTAGTTATGGAATTATGGTGGATGGTTTGGTTGGCGTTTAGTTTTTTTTGTTTCACCCCTAGGATTTGGATGATGGAATATTAATTGAGGTTTAGTCCTAATTTAATATTTAATTGTCCAAATTTTAGGACGTGACACATGCGGTTCTGGTTCAAAACTGTTCGAAAATCTGTTCAAGTTTTGACACTCATCTTTTTCAAAATCTAACTCCAAATCCATGTATATCAAAGCCCAAAATTCATAAAAACATGTTGAATGAACAATTCCTAACTTCAAACAAAACTCATGACTTTAAATCAAACCTCAAATTTCCATGCAAAAATAAATCAATTCTTGAATTAAAATATAACTTAATAAACATGCAAGTTTGAGCTCCAATTCCCCAAATTCATGGAGTTTCCTTCTCAAATCACAAGAATCATGCAAGAAAACAAATGCAAGTTCAAGAAATCTATGAGAACTCGCTATGCATGCTGCTAAATGAAACTAATTCGTACAATTCATCCCTTTTAAGCTTTTATGTGTTCACATCATCAATTTACACTCTTAAATCCCTAATTATACATGATTTCCTCTTTAATTCAACTTAGATTCAAGAGATTAGGGATGGATTCTTACCTTAGATGGTCAATTTGGTGAAAATTTGCTTAATTTCTCTTCTTGCTCTTTTTCTTCTTGAGCTCTCTCTAGAGTTCTCTCTTT